GTGCCACAACGATGCCACCCGAAGATTGCAGGAACAGCAACTCATATTCCGCTTGGGAACGCTGCAGCCCAATGGTATCAAGGTGGGCTTCACAAGCTTCAAAATCTCCCCTCCCGCTACCGCATCCCAAAACCAGCCCAGCTCATCCCCGCCTCCCTAACCTGTCCTTCCTCCCACCTATCCCCTCCTCCCACCTCAAGTCCCACCCCCATCTCCTACCTACTAGCCTCACCCTGCCTCCTTGACCTGTCCGTCCTCCCTGGACCAACCTATCTCCTCCCTAACTCCCCACCTATACTCACCTTTACTGGCTCCATCCCCGCCTCTTTGACCTGTCTGTCTCCTCTCCACCTATCTTCTCCTCTATCCATCTTCTATCCGCCTCCCCCTCTCTCCCTATTTATTTCAGAACCCCCTTCCCCTCTCCCATTTCTGAAGAAGGGTCTAGGCCCGAAAAGTCAGCCTTCCTGCTCCTCTGATGCTGCTTGGCCTGCTGTGTTCATCCAGCTCTACACCTTGTTATCCCAGCTTTCTTACCTTCTGCTCCAAAATGAAGGGGCAGATTGAAAGAGACACAAGGACATTACTCTGTACGTAAGGTGAGGTTACCTGGTCACAAAAGTGTTGCTGGTTGCAACATTTATCAAAGCTGTTAGGGTGGCTCATTGGTTAGCACTGCTGTCTCCCAGCCCTAGGGAAATGGGGTCAATTCCAGCCTCAGGTGACTGTCTGTGTGGAGTTTGTATGTCCTTCCCATGTCTGTGTGTGTTTCCTCCCACAAATGTGCAGGTTAGGTGGATTAGTCATGCTACATTGTGTGGGATGGTGTGCGGTGCTTTTTGGAGGGTTAGTATGGGCTGAATGGCTAACTTCCACAGTGCAAGGATTCTATCATTATATCTTGAAGTGGGAAGGGCCTGGTAACTGTTTATTACTTACACTATTTATTTACTCGATAGATTGCATAATGATGGGGAACAAACGCAATTTAAAAATTGAGAAAATATTACAAAATTTACTGCCGTTAAGACTGATCTTGTCGCGTATGGGGCTGTAGGAATCCCAACGTGTTTACTGACAAGTGAAGCTTTTGCTTGCTCAGTCGAGAATCCATTGCAGACTTTTCAACTAATACATGGACTGCAGGGGTATAAGAAGGCAGTTCACCACCACCTTCTCAAGGGCAACTGGGAATGGGTAATAAATGCTGGCTCAGCCAGTGACACTCATGTCCCATGAGTGAATAAAAAAGAATTGTGAAAGAATTCTTTGATGCAGCTACAGATTCCAGTATGTCATCTACATGCCCATAACATGCAAGGCATAGGAGGTTAGAGGTCATCAATTAAAGATGTGCTTCCCATGGTAACCAATAGAAATGTCAGCAAGGGCTGGGCTTAGTGAGAATTCCATGGCAATGTCACCTGTTTGATCATCTATATTGTCATTGAGAGTGAACTCAACTGCAGGAGTACTAAATTTCTCAGATTAGCTTCAGCCTTTCCACAGTTTAGCCTCATGGGTAAGCCAAACGTCAACTTCCCTGCTCCTCTGACGCTGCCTGGCCTGCTGTGTTCGTCCAGCTCCACACTGTGTTCCTCCAGCTCCACACTGTGTTGACTCTGACTCCAGCATCTGCAGTTCTTGCTATCTCTGAGCTTCACCCAGCACCTACCAGAAATGTAGGCATTTACTGCCCGTAAATGCCCATGCTGCTTATTAAAAAAAAATACAGTAAGGTGATGAGGGGCTTTTGTGGTACATCGGTAATATCCCTATCCTCTGGGCCAGTAGTCCTGGGTTCAAGTCCTACCTGTTCGAGAGGTGTGTAATAACATCTCTGAAAAGGTTGAAAGAGAAGTATCTACAATAAGGTGACGACAGTGTTGGGAAACAAGTTTCAGGAACTGATAGTGATCAACAGTGGCTGGATTTACCGATAGAAAGTTCACACAACAAACTAAAATGGGACAGGACTAATAAGCAGATTCTAATACATCCTGTTTCGTTCAGAACCCTACAATAGGATTGTAGGATTATACCATATACTTTTCCGGACAGAGAACTTATTACAATCCCAGGTGCGTGGGGGGGGGAGGGTGCATGAAGGATTGTTTTAGTTTTTCTTTCGATGGCCTAGTGGTATTATTCCTGGACTTTTAATCCAGAGACCCAGGCTATGTCCTGGGGACCCAGGTTCAAATCCTGCCATGGCAGATGGTGGAATCTGAATTCAATTCTTTAAGAAAATTCTGAAATTAAGAATCCAATGACTCCATTGTCAATTGTTGTAAAAACCCATCTGGTTCACTAATGTGCTTTAGGGAAGGAAACTGCCATCCTTACCTGGTCTGGGCCTACATGTGACTCCAGACCCACAGCAATGTGGTTGACTCTTAACAGCCCTCTGGGCAATTAGGGATAGGCAATAAATGCTGGCCTAGCCAGCGATGCCCTAATTCTGTAAATGTATTAAAAAAGGTTGCCAGGTTATTCTAAAATCCCAATGGATTCAAGATGATTTCAAGGACAGAATGTAGCCAGGTTGACCTGTTTCTGATCTACAAGGAAGCAGTTCCCTTGGTGTGGTTGAGCCTTAACATCCTCTAAGATAGCTTTGAATCAGTGGTTAGCCCTGCTGCCTCACAGTGCCAGGGACCCGGGTTCAATCCCTCCCTCGGGCGACTGTCTGTGTGGAGTTTGCATATTCTCCCCGTGTCTGCGTGGGTTTCCTCCAGGTGCTCCGGTTTCCTCCGCAGTCCAAAGATGTGCAAGTTAGGGTGGATTGGCCATGCTAAATTGTTCCATAGTGTCCAGGGATGTGCAGGCTAGGTGGATTAGCCATGGGCAATGCCGGGTTACAGAGATAGGGTAGGGATGTGTCTGGCAGGATGCACTTTGGAGGGTCAGCGTGGACTTGATGGGCCAAATGGCTTGATTCCACACTGTAGGGATTCTATGAATATACTTCAGTTATACAATCAATTTTCAGGCAACTGGCAATAATTATCATTGGGTGGGGAGGGGGACAAAGAAACAAACATTACCTACACCTCCACTTCAAACAGAGGAAAAGGAGACATGGTAAAGCTCACGTCAACCATTACAACCACACAGAATGCTGGAGAAACTCAGCAGGACTGGCAATATCTGTGGAGATAGAAACAGAGTTAACAATTTGAGTGTGGTATGACTTCTTCAGAACTGAAGAAGTATTAATCAAGCAGTCAGATAATTAATTAATGTTAATCATTGCTGATCATATCATTGAGTTTTGAAAGCTTTTTTTGAAGAAAGCTAGTGTGGGATTGCCATGCCTATAGGACATTAGTTTTAGAGTTTTTACAACAATGAACAATGGTCACATGATTGCTGTTAGATTACCTTTTTAATTCCAGATTTTTCTTCTTAAAACATTGAACTTAAAACTCCCCCATCTGGCACAGCAGGATTCAAACCAAACCACACCACAACAGCATTAAACTAGGGTACAGGATTGCTAGGCCAGTGGCAGTACCACTACACCAGCATCTCCACCTGAAGGACTCACCTAAGATCCTGGAGTGATAGCAACTGGAGTCATCAAAGATGTTGCAACAGACTTCAAAAGCATTTTATTTTGCCTGCTCCTCTTACTAGTGAAACAAAATATTTTGGAAGAATACTTGCGTTCATTTCAAAATAATTTGTAAGGTCATTGCTGCTGCAAAATTGATGCGAGGGTTTTTATTGTGACCGAGGTTATGCCTAAATGATTGTTGAAATCAGGGCAATTATCAAAACGACCTGTGACAATAATCAGCTAATAGCATATTTACACAGCACAGCAGTGCCATTGGCTGGTGAGTCTGGATTGAAGGTGCCCAATCATCCCAGGATAAGGGGCAGGCCAGTTAGGACTGGGATGAGGAGGAATTTCCTCACTCAGAGTTTAGGGAATCTTCTCTACCCCAGCTGGCTGTGGATGCTTAATCTTTGAGCACAGAAATCAACAGGTTTATGGAAACCAACGACGTTAAGGGTGATGGAGAAAGTGCAGGAAAATGGTATTGAAATGATTGGCAAGATCCGAAACAAGTTCGATGAACTGAATGGCCTACTCGTGCTCCTTGAGTAATTGGATATTCTGTATTCTTGTCTCATTCACACAGTCCTTTATGTTTAGAACAAACTACCAGAAGGGGCTTGATGGGGTAAGCGCTGAGAGGATGTTTCCCCTCATGGGAGAGTCTAGGACCGGAGGGCACGGTCTCAGAATAAAGGGGGACCAATTTAAGATTGAGATGGGGAAGAATTTCTTCTCTCAGAGGGTTGTGAATCTTTGGAACTCCTAGCCACAGAGAGATCTGTGGTGATCGAGTTCTTGTGTATATTTAAGGCTGAGAGAGATAAATTCTTGATCCATAGGGGAATCAAAGGAAAAAGCAGGAAAGTGGACGTGTGGAATGTCAGATCAGCCACGATCCTTTTGAATGGCGGAGCAGGCTTGAGGGGCCGAATGGCCTATTCCTGCCCTATTTCTTATGGCTTTCTTATGGCCACTTAGAACTGGAATCATAATGAATCATTGTACCCCAAATGTGTACATTACAGGCTCTCAGTGATCTTCCAAATCTAGCCTTCTGTGAGACAAATCTAATTGTTCTACCTATTTACTATAACTATGCAGAAGCAGGTTATTCTGCAGCTTACTAAGCCCTACACTCTGGAATTTCCCTCCTGCAGTGCTCTTCCTCTCTAATGTTCTCTCCTTAAAACCTACGCTTTGGCCAAATTATCACTCACCTCTCTTAATACTTCCTGAAATGAAATTTTGTTTGATAATGATCCACAAAACACTTTACTGCATTAAAGGTGCTATATAAGTGCAAGTTACTATTGGAATGGGGTATACAGCGGGGCGAAGGAGGAACATGTGCCACTTCCATCTGGGAGAGGACACAAACAGGAATGGAATGTATTATTCCATTATGTGTTATATAATATTATGTATTATTTACCTTCCGATCCACACATGCGACTGAGCGGCCAGCAAAACGGTTAGCAACCCCTCTGTGCACGTTGATCTCATCACTCAGGATGTCTTCCCACCTTCCATTCCGAAACTTGAAGAGTTTATCAGTGTAGGTGCTTATGCCTAGAAGAGAAGTCGTGAAGGGAAAATTGAACAACGCGAGTTGAAACTTTCACTCTTCTTTCATAATCAATTTAATGTCAAGGACAGATACAGCACAGGGTTAGATTCAGAGTAAAGCTTCTTCTACACTGTCTCCATCAAACACTCCCAGGCCAAGTACAGCATGGGGTCAAACACAGGATAAAGCCTCTACACTGTCCCCATCAAATACTCCCAGGACAGTAACAGCACAGGGGTTAGATACAGAGTAAAGCTCTCTCTATACTGTCCCCATCAAACACTCCCAAGACAAGAACAGCACGAGTCCAATATTTCTCCCTGATTCCCCTCTGTGATTGAAACTAGACATGGGCATCAGTGTGGTGCTGATTGATACTGGGCAGTATTCATCTTTTGACCTCTACCTCAGCCAGAAATAAGTTATTGATGAAACAGTTCCGACTGTCTGTGCCAAGTCTTGTGATACTGTGACCAGGAAAGCACTCTCCCTGTGTGAGCCTATATAGTGTTGGACGATCAGAGCCAATCCCGATCCAGTTTCTAAACACAGTTCATACACAGGGGCTGTAGTGTATACTATCTACAGGGTGCACTGCAGCAACTCACCAAGGCTCCTTCAATAGAACCTTCTGAACCCGTGACCTCTATCATCAAGAAGGACATCAAGTCACACTCCATTCTGTCTGGAAATACATCACCATTCCTCCATTGGTCCTTGGTCCACATTCAGGAACTGACAACCTGAGTGCAACCTGGGAGTAGCCAAACTACACAGACTCTAGCAGAGGTAACTAGAGGTGGACATTAATTTGCCAGCATCTCGGGTTGTCAACTCTGGTTGGGTGTACTCCTGGAGATATCACCCCTCTCCACCTGCTATGCCCTCTGTCACATCGTTCGACCTGTGACATAGAGTCATAGAGTTGGACAGCACAGGAACAGGCCCTTCGGTCCAACTCGTCCATGCCGTCCAAATATCATAAATTAATCTAGTCCCATTTGCCAGCATTTGGCCCATATCCCTCTAAACCTTTCCCATTCATGTACCCATCCAGGTGCCTTTTAAATGTTGTTATTGTACCAGCCTCCACCACTTCCTCTGGCAGCTCATTCCACACACTCACCACTCTCTGCGTGAAAATGTTGACCCTCTCACCTTAAACCTGTGCCCCCTAGTTTTGGACTCCCCACCCTGGAGAAAAGACCTTGACTATTCACCCTAACCATGCCCCTCATGATTTCATAAACTTCTATAAGGTCATCCCTCAGCCTCTGACGCTCCAGGGAAAATAGCCCCTGCCTGCTCAGCCTCTCCCTATATCTCAAACCCTCCAACCCCAGCAACATCCTTGTAAATCTTTTCTGAACCCTTTCAAGTTTAACATATTTCCTAAGGCAGGAAGACCAGCACCAAATGACATATCTGACCTATATCCCCACTGCCAATTAGAACGCAAACTCCCCAATTATCTGATTGAATGATTTTGTTTTCCTTCCCCATCAATAATGTTTTTATTATTCATCATCAAGTTGTTTGAAGATTAATTCTTAAGTGAAGACAATAATTATTTGTGCTCTCTTATGATTTTTCCCTGGGAATTGATCAATGCAGTGTTCTGAAGATTAATCTTTAGTTCCTGGAGATTCCAGGGAAATCCTAGATGGTTGGGAACATGGCCAGTGATGCCCTATATCCTAAGAGTTAATTCGGAAATTCCTTCCCCAAAGCTCGATACAGATCGAAAACATAGTGCCCACTGATTACTTATCAGTTTCCGATAAAGAAATTTAGCCTAATTACGGATCAGAGCAGGGAGGGGAAGCTATTTCAGGCTTAGCCATATACCTTGCAGTCAAGATTTTGGGACACTGCTGTGTCATTGACTCATATGGCATAGATGAAGGCAATTTGGCCCAACAAGCCTGTGCTAGCTCTTTGAAAGACCTCTTCCATTCGACCCACCACCCTTTTCATACAGTGCAGTCCAGAATCTCAAGAACTCATAACACAATGGAGCAGTTGTAGGCCATTCAGTCCATCTGTTCCACCATTCAGTGAGATCATGACTGATCTGATCATCCTCAACTCCACTTTCCTGCTTTTTTCCCATAACTCCTGATACCAGAATTAATTAAAAAATCTGTCTATCTCAGCCTTGAATATAGAAGCATAGAAAACAAGAGCAGGAGACAGCCATTCAGCCCTTTGAGTTTGCTCTTGCCAGTCAATATGATCATGGCTGATCCTCCAATCCGAATGCTTGCTTTCTCTCCACACTCTTTGATCTCTTTAGCCCCAAGAACTATAACTCCTTCGTGAAAATGTAACAACACAGCTTCGACAGCCTTCCCTGGTAAATAATTCCACATATTGACTTTCTCAACATCATAGAATGCCTACAGTGTGGAAGCAGGCTATTTGGCCCATCGTATCCTCACCAATCCCCTGAAGAGCATCCCAACCTGACTCACCCTCTACCCTTTCCCTGTATTTCCCATGGCCAATCCACCTAGCCTGCACAGCTTTGGACTGTGGGAGGAAACCAGAGCACCCGGAGGAAACCCACTCAGACACGGGGAGAATGTGCAAACTCCACAGAGACAGTCACCCGAGGGTGGAATCGAACCCAGGCCCCTGAGGCGGCTAACCACCGAGGCACTATCTATCTTCAATGTGTGACCCTTTATTTTGAGATTATGCCTCTGGGTTTATACTCTCCCACAAAGGAAAATTTCTACATCCATCCTGTCAAGTCCCCTAAGGCTGTGTTAATCAAATTCTCACCTCCCTGCTGGTATTTTAACTAGTTATCATCAGTCGGGCTCCCTCTGGTTATTCACTGTTTTATCAGTGGAACCAATTCTAACCCAATTTACTTAATGAACATGAGCACCTCAGTCAGCTCTTAACCTTCTCTGCTCTAAGGGTACAACATCAGTGTTTTCAGTCTCTCCTCAGAACTGAAGCCCCTCATCCCTGGTACCATTCTAGCAAATTTCCTCAACACAGTCTCTAAGCCTAGAGATTCTGAGAATTGGGCATATTTTAACTGAGCAAATTGAGGCACTCAATCCATCAAGCCTGCTCTGCCATTCAACAGGAATATCTCCTATCCTCTACCTCAATGCCATCCTTCCACTCTTGCCCCTTGAACTTTTAGTGCTTAAGAATCTGTTTCTTTCTTAAATATATTAATTTCTAATTCATTCACAGGATCTGGGCATTGCTGGCTCGGCTGTAATTGTGCAGAGGGCATTGCTGTGGCTCTGGAGTCACATGTAGGCCAGACCAAATGAAAGGCCAGATTTCCTTCTCCAAAGAACATTTGAGAACCAGATGGATTTTTTCTGACAATCACTTCATGGTCATCATTAGCCTTTCAGATTTTTTAAAAATTGAACTCCACCTCTACCGTGACAGTATTTGAACCCACGTCCACAGAACATTACCTGGATCTCAAGATTAGCATTCTAGCAATAATACCATCAAGCCATCACCTCCCCAGTCTGTACTCAACAGAGTTTGCAATGATGAGAGGGAATCTCATTGAAACTTACCTACCACTGAGAGGCCTGGATAGAGTGAACATGGAGGAGATGTTTTCAATAGTGGGAGAGACTAGGACCGGAAGGCACACCCTCAGACTGAATGGGCAACCCTTTAAAACAGAGATGAGGAGGAATTTCTTCAGAGGGTGGTGAATCTGTGAAACTAATTACTGCAGGGGGCTGTGGAGACCAAGTCATTGGGTGTATTTAAGACAGAGATAGATAGATTTTTTATTAGTAAGGGGATATCAGTTACAGGGAGGAGGCAGGAGAATGGGATTGAGAAATACATCAGCCATGATTGAATAGTGGACAAGATGCGATGGGCTGAATGGCCTAATTCTACTCGTACATCTTATGGTCTTATCTCGGTCTCCCTTATAATCTCAGTAACAATGCCCACCATAGCATTGTAGCTTGTACCTGATTGCCATCATGCAGTAACCACCTTATGCCAATGTTTCCTGAGCTTGACTCCTCCCCCAAACAATGAGACATAAGGAATTGTTCAAGACAAGTTCCCCGTCTTGTCAGACCAGTAAGTGGTTTTCCTCTGCCACATCAAACCGAAAACGCTCTCTAGATCGCAACCAGGAACAGGATCGGTGGCAGCAAATCTACCCGATTGCTCATACCACACATGGGGCAGGGCTGACTACTCATCCAAACACAGCTACAAAGCTAGGGGCCAAAAGCTGGAAAGTGGGGTCAGGCTGGATGGCTACTTGCCAACTGACGTGGAAACGATGGGCCGAATGGCCACCTTCCCTGTAGTCAATTCCTTATGTCTCATTGTGTGAGGAAGGAGTCTGCTGGATCATTCCCTGGGTGCCAATCTCGGGAAATGTTGGCATTAGGTGGTCATCTGGGTAAGGTGAGTGCTTTGCTTTATCTGGTCCACGAGATAATCTGTGTATTTTACATCAGGGAAGAGACAGGAATGGGGAATGGGGGAAGATATGATAAATGTATTCCTTGATTACATTTAGCAATCCAGGTCCTAATTTACAGTGACAGAGAAGGAACAGCGATGTTGTTCTAAGTTAGGATGGTGTGTGAGTTGTAGGGAACTTAGAATCAGAGTCATAAAGTTGTACAGTACAGAAACAGACCCTTCGGTCCAACCCCTTCTTGCTGACCAGATATCTTAACTTAATTTAGTCCCATTTGCCAGCATTTAGCCATACCTCTCTAAATCCTTCCCATTCATGTACCCATCTAGATGGCTTTTAAATGTTGTAATTGTATCAGCCTCCACCACTTCCTCTGGCAGCTCATTCCATACACCCACCACCCTCTGTGTGAAAAATGTTGCCCCTTAGGTCCCTTTTACATTTTCCCCTCTCACCTTAAACCTTTGCCCTCTAGTTTTCAACCCCCCTACCCTGGGGAAAAGACCTTGACTATTTACCCTATCCAAGTCCCTCATGATTTTATAAACCTCTATAAGG